ATGACTCCAATTGAATAACCAATGCATTCAAAACATGTAATTTCCAAATAAATATGCAAAAAATGCAACTCATATATAAAGCTCAATATTGAGCAATTTAAATGGGACAAATGTTCCCAAAACTCATTTGGAATAATATCAAATCAACAAACACGACAACTTATTTGACCACCAATTAATAGCCAACATAAGCCAATAAAATTCATCTGCTTGATAAATAAGCAAATTCATGCTCCAAAAGTATGACTAACTAAAAAACCATCATCAATTGAGACAAATCATTTTTAAACATTAATTTATGGGTGTTACATAGAAATTAATGCATTTTTTAATGAAATTTCATATATATCTCTTTCTCTCATCTCCTCTGCTCTCTCCGTAACATGTACACACGCACAACTAAATGTACACATAAATTGAACGCATTGTGAATATAATGTAAACAAGCTTAAGAAATTTTTTACTAGGGTGTTCACAATGTGTAAACATCACAAGGTGTTGACAAGTGGTAGATTTAGATTTAGTTTCATTGATTTAGTTGGTGTCTACAATATGTTCACAAGTAATATCAGATTTTGCATATTTAAACCGTGTTTCATTAAATACCATAAAAATAACTTCCACATAAAAAGTACGTACTTATCCTTAATCATTAAATCAAACATTCAAAATAACCTCTATTAAATAATTAATATTATTGGTCCAATAACTTTACAAAGTTAACACCATATTATTGGTTAACCAAAGATCTTACCCATATATATATATATACCTAATAAATAAGTAACTTGGATGACACGTGTCATCTTCTGGTGAGTCGGTTATCTTATTTTTCCGCCTAAACATGTATCTAGACACAATTTACATTAGTGGTTCAAAGAAGCATATTTGGTTGACATTTGTCCCTCTAAAAATGTATCTTTTTTTTTTTATCGTGGTTTAATTGATTTCCGTACTAAACGGGATTTAGTTCAGACTAATTTTCTTCAACTTATTGCTGACAACCTTCAGCTTGTGTTTTCAGCTTATCGTGACTGCTTTCAGCTTATCGCTGACAACTTATCACTGACAACCTTTAGCAAATCTGACAGGTTATTGTTGACAGCCTTCAGTTAATCTGACAAATTATTGCTGACAGTCTTCAGCTAATCTGACAGGTTATTGCTGACAACTTTTAGCTTGTGTTTTCAGCTTATCGTGACATCTTTCAGATATTACTGAAGAGGCAACTTTTAGCTTATCGTGATAGTTTTCAGCTATCACTTGCTGATGTTGTCAAAAGGAGTTCTGTAAGACGAGTTTTGTTGGTTAACATGCTGGCTATAAAAGATATTTTTTTGCCAAAAATATGTCTATATTTGTTCAAAATAACACATTTAATTTTATTCTAGGGTTAACTTCATTTTAACTAATTATTGATATAGTTTCATTTCTAAATTCAAGTTTCAAAAGTTGTTTTTCAGAGTCATTCTTCAAAGTTATACTTCAGAGTTATTTCAAAAGTACAAGTCTGAAGTAACATCGTACTTTCGATGATCATTCATATCTGTAAGATAAGTTACTGACATAATTTAATTTTTTTAAATTACTCCGTATAATACACGGATTGAACCTAATGTGTGTGTGTGTATATATATATATATATATATATATATATATATAATTAATGTTTGAATAATGCAAGAAACACAAGTTGGATTAAACCTTTGTCATCATATTTAATTGTAACCAATGAAATCGTAAATCTTGTTACATGGGGTTTGAGTTGTGAGTAACCAATCACAATATAGTGTATTAAAATAAAACAATAATATAGTTTATTTATGATTATTAATTAAAAAAATTGAAATTAAATTATTTATGAACCAATTTATATATCATATAATATAATAAAAAATAATTCTTTTTGTATGCTAAAAAACTATAAATGTTAATTAATATATTTATATAAATATATAAATAAGAATATATGATCATTAGATGCAATAAGAATCAATGTTTTTAAACAGGAAATAATAATTAACCGTTGATACATGATGATGACGTAAGTGCATACATATGCATTTTTATTAAATATTTAATTCCATACTTATATATTCATTTTTAATTTAAATATTAAACAATTAATTAATTAATTAATAAAAAAACAAAGTTTTATAGAGAGATGAAAAATGTTATTTTTAACAAACCACATGGACTAAATTTGTAATTTATTTAAATAATTTTTCTGTCTACAACTTATGTTTTTTTACAAAAGCATTTATCAACTTATTATAAGTCAGAAAGATTTAACTTCTTTAAAAACTGTTTATTACCGATTTGGCAGCGGTATAAATTGTTTATCCAAACGTTCAAAAATGTTTATTACCGGTGTCACACCGAAATAAGTCAATAAATTGTTTTTGTAAACAATCCCAAACACCCCTTAAATATCCACATTTATATTAATTTTAGTTCGTTTTAAAATAAATATTCACTTTTAAAAATGAGTTTTTATTTTATCTTTAGTTGTAATATAAATGATGTAAAAAATATAAATGATAATTGATATTTTAATTAATATAGTCAATAAATTAAGGTTTTGTTTGTTTTTATAATTTTTTTATTAACCTTTTATGTCTAATCTGTTAAGAAATAAGACTATTCAGACTGTTCGTTTTTTCCAATTTTCAAAAGGCACTTATGTCTTAAGTTCTTTTATTTTGGAAGAGATAAACCAATCTTTTATTTGTTTCTTATTGTTCTTTAAACCCTCAATAACAATGTTTTTCAATCGATTAACCTTAATCGATCATTTCTCTCAATTGATGTATTTTAATATGATTTAAATATGTTAAATACGTTAGTGACATATTTTGTTTAAATGAATGTTAATTATATAATGTAGATGTAAAATTCGTAATGATGATGAATAAGTATGTGAAATTGTGTAAATTTTATTTATAAATTCAACTATATAATTTTTTAATGAGTAAAATAGACAATTTAAACAAATTCAGACGTTTATCATTTTACAAAAACAAATAGTCGTATTGATTTAAATTTCAGATGTCAGCATCACCTCTTTAAATCAGAAGTAAAATAAAACTCCAGACTTTAATAACTTTTAAAAAATAAACGTCAACTAAGTAATTACTCAATATATATATATATATATATATATATATATATATATATATAGAGGTTGGTTATTATACAACCCTTGACATTTGTGCAACCAATACAACCCAATATAAACCGTCCATTTCATTTGATGAATATATGATTTCATAGAAGTTTTGATTGTTTCCTAATATAAAGTATTAATTATAATTAATGAACTCTATTCATATTCTATAAATATTTAAATCATAATAAATGAACTCCCATCAATTCTATAAATATCTCAATTAATTGGGTTGCATAGATTGTACAAATTAACAAGGTTGTAAAAGAAATATACCCTATATATGTATGTATATATGTATGTATGTATATGAATTTTTAATTTTATAAATAAAATATAATTTAGGGCATATGTGTCCTACGAATACTCGGCGAATTGACGAAGCTCGCACGGGTGAGTGTATGATTATTCAACAATATTTAGTCCAAAGTACGTCAGGTTTACAAAAATACACTTAGGCCCCCTTATTTCTTAACCATTTCAATCACGTCCTTCCAGAATATGGATATGTCTATTTCAGTCCTCCTTTCATTATGGAAGATTATACTTTGTAGGAAATATGATGACCGAAAGAAACGCAAAAAAAGGGTCGTTTACCAAACGTTTATCTATGTAAACGCTTACCAAGTCACATTACCTTATCGGATGAATATGGAAATAACAATGAATTTGACCTTGTAAGAGCAGACAAGGACCAAAAGTCTTATCCAGTAAGTGAGAACGGATGCTCTTACCACAGTTAGTGCTTATCAGGTAAATTATCGCATACGATGCCTTTTTTAGGTAATTGTTTGGTAAACGGCCTCTAACTCATTTTTTGAATTTATTTTAAAAGTTCCATATAAATTATCAAAAAGTAGCTTATAATTATTACTTACTTAATTAATATTAGTTAATAATAATAACCATTATTAATTTCAAATTATAAATTAATTTAATTGTAAATTATTCCTTATAAATCATAAATATTTACATAATTATTATTCTATATATTTAGTTGCTAAAAAACAAATATAATCATTCTAAAAGTGTTTCAGTAAATTACATAAAAGTTAAGTTATATTTCTTTTATTTCATAAATAATAAAACTTTGATAAATATTATAATAAAATATTTAGTTTAATTGTTTTTGAGAAATTTAATTAATTAGCAACTTTATTTATTTTTTCAATATTACATTTCCTTTACAATCAATCATATCAACTTCAAAATTTGTTTTAAAGCAATGACGGCTAAACACTTTCGCTTCGATGTTAGATATGTCGGTGATTTTAGTGTCATCAAGCCATTTAGTATGATCGAGATTAATGTGAGACAAACCGAAATTAGATTTAGCTATAATTTAAGCGTGAAGATGCGGAGTGCATGCATGCTCGGATAAGTTAACTTGATCTATGGAACGAGGGGGTTTGGGGGCAACGCCCCTGGTGGGGTCCAAGAGGCATCGCCCTTGGCGGCAGTTGTTTTCCAGCCAAACACCAGAACAATCACGTCTGTTGGAAACAGACACGACTTTCCGCCAAAAATAACCAACTAATCGCCGGTTGCTATATAAGGCTTCATTCGATGATTGCATATTATCTTCTTCGTATATACTGTTACTCTGTCGGATTTTGTCTCTAAAGGAACATAAACAAGCAACGTATCATGTATTTGTGATCTTGGGTTTTGCCCGAAATCCAGATTTGTTGTTCTTGGATTATCCCAAATCTGATTTCGTCATACCCCAGGCAATAGGGTCGAAACCACAGATTTTGGAAAGTGTTTATACACAATCCTTGAATATGCAATGACTACCAGATGTGGACATCGTTTGTACTTTGCATGGTTTAGATGCAATTCAAGTCTTGGATTCTTCACAGTTAAAATTTTCTCCACATAGAATATGAGTATCATACAAAAGGGATTGATTCACACTTCCAAATGCACTGTATTTAGCAACTTTTGGACTTGATTGTCCCTCTAGTAGCTCTCAACAACATTTCTAAACAACATCAAAAGAGAATTAAGAATCCCCAACGGAACCTAGTAACGGCGGTGTGGAATATGCAACGACTACCAGATGTGGATATCGTCGTTAGGATGGGTCATTGGCAGGAATGAAGACCGATGAAGGAAGAGTTTAATTGTTGGATTATTGGTTGATGTATGTAGATCCATACATTCCTCAAGATCAGCATCGCATGTCAACAGCACCCAATCCGAATCATCGTCTATGTACTCAACTGTCATATGCTCCATGTCATACTTATTAAACCGCCTTGTTATTTCGCGCTTTAAGTCTCCAAATCCACACTCTTTTGACATTCTGAATCTGATTTTCTCTTCACCAAATGTAGCTTTTACTCTGAAGGCACATTCATCTTGTGATATAGGGCTGCTGCTCTTCGGTGCAGGAGCTATAACCTCTGCAAGTTTATTGTTTTCAGATCTTACTAGTAACTTTGTTTCTTCTTGAAGCATGTTCTTGGTAAAAGATGAATTACCGCATGGCCTTTTTTGCAACCCACAAGATTTTAAGCTTGAACTAGAACCATGGCTGCAAGAAGATAATGAAGAGTTGGATGGTGTTGTTTGAGATTTTAAGAGGTTAACCCGATCGTTAACCTTTGGTCTGGGACTAAGTGAAATCGGGCAGCTTAGTTCTGGGAAGTTTGTATAGAATGATCCGAGTTTGATCATCCCTTCAGCACCTTGGACTGAATCGATGACCAGTTGGAGTTTCTTTAATGAATGGCTTACTTTCTTGATCTTTCTTGAAGGCCATCTCATGATTCCGTGCTGTCTGCATATCCTTTTTAATGTCGTAGGACAAACTGAAAACATTGAGGAAAATCATGAGAAAATCTGGAAATTTTGTTAAAGAAATTAAACAACAAAGTTACAAGTTCTTAACCTCCAATGCTCTTGGCTGCGTCTTTCAGACTCCCGGGGAAGTATTGTTGGAGAACCTGCAAACTGATATTTCTTTCTATCTTCACCCTGCTCTTTTCCTTTGATCGTTTGGCGCTCGATGATTGACTTCTTGAATTGGGTCCCCACTCCAGATAAGTTTGACCTTCAGGGTCGGTGAATGCGAGTCCTTGATAGAATTGGTTTATGACTTTAAATCCTTCTTCTGGTTCCTCCTTGTGAACTCCCATGGAAACAATGACTTTTTCACCCCTCTGTTGGGCTTCCAACATATGGGATATCCAAGACTCGTCTCGAGTATTTGTTTTCTTGACTGAAAATGAAGCTTCTTCAACTGGTTCTTCATCATCTATCCCATGCAAGCTCCAAGAAATATGTTGAATCATAGAAGCGATCGAGCTACACATCTGTCTTTGTTCTTCATGGTCTTTGCAATCAGGAGGCAGGAAGAACTCAAGGATGAAATCCATTAATCCTGTGTAGGTGCTCCGAAGGCGTATTGCTACAGCACCACTCATTCCAAACATCTTAGCTTGATGAGCTAGAGGATAATCAGCCCTACAAAAATCAGCAATGTCAACAGTAAAGCATGGTTGGTTCATACCCAATGCTTTACCAGCAATACCTTCTCCTTGTACCAGCTGCTGATCACAGCAAGCCTCGAAAAAGCCCAAAATCTCAGGATCGAACACATACGAAGCAGATTCAATGATGGAGATGTATGCACGGGAACTGTCTTTACATGAACCCCATGTTTGAGCCAATGGCAACTTCAGCGTGTCACATATGGATCTCAAAACATCTCGAATCTCCGCAAGTACCACTTGGTATGGTTCACTGAAATCCTGATATATAAAAAGATAGAAATTAGTTTCAAATTGCAATTCCATGGTTGTTGAGTTTCTTGAGGTATGATCTCTATCTACCTTTAGTTTTGGATGAATCAAGAACTCAGAAGTCCTTAGATCAACCACCTGCAAGCGGAAGTGGATTTAAAAAAGATTGAACCAAGAATCAAAGTAATTGTGGGTCTCATTATATGATGAGTAATAAAGTTAAAAAAATGATGTAAATGAATGGAACCTAACATAAACCAAGTGGGAAATTCATGAGCATATATAGAGAAGAAGATAAAAGGAGACCTCAAGAGCTTTATAGATGTTTTCAAGTTCATCGCGAAAGTTTACTTTCTGGGAAGTTGTCACCACCTCGAGAACACCCAAGCAAGGTCCACCGCCTAGTTCGAAGAGAGGGAGGTTAAGACACCCGACAAGGTTGAGCTTTTGAGCATAACTTACACGTGGATCATTCGCTTCTGTAACGAATCGAAGATCTAGAGTGCAGGTGGGAAACTTCTTCAAGAAAACACGGCTAGGTAAACCGAGTATCTCAGTGGAATCATACTCAACAGCAAACCGATAGCTCTTGGAAACCTCTCTATAATTCGAGAAGCTTGTACCATCTGAGTTAAGCATGAATGGTTTGTTCTCTGTGGTAAGGACTCGTTTGCCATGTCTAATTACAGGCAGCCATAATTGAACAAGAAGGTCAGTGTCTGTTATGCACCTTTCATTCAGATATTCAATTGCCTGAACTAGTCTATCATCAAAGACTTCACCATAATCATCAAGAGGTTTCATATCTGTTTCCTCTGGACAAAGGTTTGGATCAAAAGATGGCATGTATATGTCTGAGGAATGAAGGTAAGAAGATGAAAAATCCAAATGGGTTGAAGAAGACAAATTAAGACTCTCTAACCAACCATCATTACATGATCTTTCATTAGTAACCACAAAATCTAGACTATTTTCTTTGATGGATCCAAACATGGTGGTATAATCATCCATCAAAAAATACCTTTTTTCTATAACGACTAAAACGGTGGCAAAAACAAGGAAAAGAAGAGGATGTGCGGTTCTAGCAGCTGAGAAAAAGAATTCAGGAACCAGAGCGAAGAAGGTTGACGTAAATATAAAACAAAAATAGCAACTTCCAGGAATTCTTTTCGTCTTCCTTCAAAAACCAGATGAACCCATGTCGCACAAACATTATTCTTGTGGAAGAACTGCAGATTTACAAGCGCAACCTCAGCAAGTTCTTCAAAAATTTCAAGTCTAATTCAACATGACACATCAAAAACACAAAATTCATAGAGACTAAAAGCCCACAACCTGTTCGATGTAACGTCACAATAACAAAAGCCAATGGAACATACAGATTTGAAGATGAATATAGCAAAAAATACGCAAATCAAAAGGGTAACTCACTTGAGATTTGAGTAGATGATGAGATTGAAATGAATTTGGGGCAGAATTTCAAATTCAGAAAGTGAAATCACAGCAGCCACTGACCCTGAAATGCTTAGACATACACAAGTCTCCGCTTCTGGTTGTTTCTTATAGAGGAATGCAAGCAGGACCACATGACGTAAGATTATAAACAATCACTAGTTTCCACATAAAAAATTTAAATATATATTAATAAAAGAATAATTTACAGTTTTAGTCCCTGTAGTTATTCACATTATCAAATCTCATCCCTAAAGAAAGTACTTAACTATTGCTGGAAACGAGGTAACGTGGTTTTTTCTTGGTTTCAAGACACCCTTGTCATTCTTGATTTAAAATAATACAGTAATAAAAGTAATTATTTAAAATATTTTTTTAATTAAAAAAATTTAAAGACCAAAACTAATAATTATCATAAAGTAATTAATAATAGATAATTTGAATTAACATATATATAAATTAAAACCACATTATCTGTACTATATTATAAAACATTTGATAAAAACTCTTAAAACCACTTTTTATGCATAAAATACCGTTTATTAATGCATGTTACTTAAAACTCAAGATTACAAGTAGATTGAGCGTAAGTATAACTTATTAAAGCTCCATATCTGAATTCGTGTAACTAACCGCAGATAAAAATAATCAAATACAAGATAAATATCTCATTTTAAGTATAAAAAATCTAAAATATAATTAAGATAATCGTTGAGTTCTAACAGAATACTTAATTATTAT